GGTGTTTTATCGTAACGAATCTCAAATCATCTGTGTAAAAAGTCAAGATAAAAAATATCAGCATTTGTCTACGAGCTGCCATAAAATTAGAATGGCTCTTTCGACCCTGTTTTAGTTAAAGGTTACGATAAAAAAGTAAAGTATCGGTTTTTAAGCCTTCGTTGCTTTTCCTTATACTCAGTGTGTTTTTCCCTCACTTAAGTGCCCTCACCATCTTTCAGTCCCAGGCATTTTCCCCATTCATGAATAGAGATAGTTCCGTCGTTGTCGGTGTCACATCCCTCCAAAAACGGCTTAATGCAAGATTCCATTGGAATCACGGGAGCAGTAATGGGAATGAGTTCGTGATGGGAAACAGCCTGGAAGCAATAACTCTACTAAGATCCGCATCGCACTGTGATCTTCTCTTCCTCCATTTAATCAAGGAACCTTATCGTGTGGCTTGATATCCAAGTCACAGAATTTCCAGATGACGGGGTAGACGTGTCTCTTCTCATCATCAGCCTCGGCTTCCTGAAGGAGTTCTTCCCACTCGAGCTTGTGCAGTTCACGACGCTTTTTCAGCTCCTTCATAACCTGTAAAAAAGATAAGCCATGTGTAAACTATTCTCGCAATCATTGCTATCCAACCCACCTGAAAGAGCCAGTCAGCCATGCGTTCAGGGAACTGAGCCATCAGTTCTTCGGTGCATTCGCTCAGCTGCTTGCATTCGCCGAGGTATTCCAAGTGGACCTGAAAAATTCTACTGTTTGTTGGGCTATCTCACACTTTTTCAGGCTTACTTTAGCGTGACTTTTCTTGGCACACTGCTTGGAGCCCTTCTTGCAGAGGCAACGTTCACGATAAAGATCGCATAGAGAGACGAATGTTTCATTGTTGTTAGCACACACCTGGAAATTGAGTTATGGAATATCATTGCAGCTTGGTCGCCATTGCATATGGAGCTACATTTAGCACAGGATTTTATAAACACATTGTTCTGTGTATAGCCATCTGTGTTCTCATAAAAATATTTTGCTATTTGATGGGTTTCACACTATTTGATCTACGGACAGGAAATAATCAAAATTATTTTCTGCTATGCTTGGAGAAACGTTAGTCTCGTGCACCCTTTAGACTTCTTCGCTTCGCGCGAGACATCTATAAGCCATCTCCGCAGTTCACGTTCTAACATCAAGTACACTCGATCTGTTGAATACCTAATGTGACCTATAAGACATCTATTTAAAATTCGAATTCTGATTCAAATGCAGGGGTTAATCTCGTAATCTTCGTTTTCTGAGGTGTTTATCTGCTGCAGACGTTGGCCTAGACGTAAAACTTCTGTGCCTACAGATATGAGTCGGAAATCACAAAAAAAAAGAAGCTGATTTTGTTACTTTACATAACATTGATGGTTGTTTAGATATGTTGCAGAAGTATTTTTTAAACTAAGAGTTTTTTTCAGCGGTATATAGGGCATCAGATAGTGAATTAAAAATGGTGAGGTTCTTGAGCTGGGATTGCAAGCAGATTTTTTTTGAATCATCGTATTCCAGAGTCGTTTGAATTTTTCAACGCTTTTTCTTATGTTCCGCTAACGCAAGTAGATCTCACCTTGTCCATCGGATCCCCATCAAGCTCGGGACACTTGCTGATACACTCGCAGTGCGGCTCGCTCTTCTTGCCAACTACGCACTCTTTACCCCATCCACATACATGATCTTCACATGGATTTTTTATCACCGCAGCTGAAAAAAAAAGACTTCTAATTAAAGACAGATTTCTTGAAACGTATTGTGTGCAAAATATCTGTTTTCAATATAACGTCAACAGCTTGAAAGTTCGCAAAAGAAATTTTTGCAACAAACAGATGGCTTTTTTT